TGTCTGGTGGGTTCGAGCACAGCAATGGTGGGTTCACGCGCTGCGACGGTGGGTTCCATGGTGGGTTCTGGTCCCTGTCTACCCCTGAAAAAGCATCTCGACGTCGGCGATGAGCTGCGCCCGAAAGCTCCGAAGTCAGCCCTACGCTCCCTTGAGAGTCGAGAGGTGTCCCGCGGTTTCGCAAACGTTTTCGTATAGCCCACGACACAGCGAGTGCCCGCCATGGCGCCACGTTTTGGCCCTGACTCGCTCCTTGGACTGCCGCGTCTAAGCCTCGCGGTATGCAACTCGCTTCCGACAGACCGGGCAGCCGGCCGGGCTCCGAAAAAAGAAGGACCCCTTTTGCTTCGTGTGTCTGCCATGTTCGTGTGTCTGCCATGTTGAGCGTCAGACGGCCGAGTCCTTCAAGTATACCTGGTAGCGACAGTGACTTGGGAACACATCGCGTTCTTGCTTTCCCTTCTTCGCATTTTGGACTACCAGAGGAGAATAATTCGTCTACTGTTACGAACCGCGCATCCTGTGACTGAAACTGACCCCCCAGTCATCCATCCACCCTATCGTCACATCCTCCAGGACTCGTTCCTGCATAGCCGCCCGCTCACCTGCCCCCTTTCGTCCATGACTGACCCCATGGCGCCGAGACGAACACACACCAAGTCAAGAAAAGGCTGCCAAGAGTGCAAGAGACGCAAAGTCAAGGCACGTCCTCGTACAACACGTCCTCGTGCAACGCCCGGCGGGGCGCCTCGCATCACACGCCCACTAACATCCAGCAGTGCGATGAGGGAACGCCGGCCTGCTTCAACTGTGCTCGCAGGGGCATGGTATGCAGCCTCTCCGCCGCGGCATCCGCCTCGGCCACTTCCCCCGACAGCTGTTCTCTCTCCGACAGCGACCGCCGCCGGATGTCGGGTGCCGCCGGCCTTCCCGGCAACGCCGGCCCCGGCCTGCTGAGCGTCGAGCTCGCTAACCCCTGCCGGGCCGCCCGCCCCTCGATCGCCGAGACGTGGGGCCAGGGTCTCGAGCTCATGCACCACTACTGCACCGTCACGGCCCCGTCCATGGCCTACCGCCTCGACATGCAGCACGTCTGGCGGACCGTCCTCCCCGCCCTCGCCTACGCCAGCCCCTTTCTCATGCACGGCATCCTCGCCGCCGCCGCCATGCACAAGGCCCACCTCCTCGTGGCCCGGCGCCGCGCCTACGCCGAACTCGCCGTCTACCACCAGACGGCCGGCCTCGAGGGCTTCCGCGCCGCCCTGACCAAGCTCGACGCGGGCGCCACCGACTGGGAGCCCAGCTTCTGCTTCGCCGCCATCATGGTCCTCACCATGTGCGGGCAGCCCGCCGGGTCGCACGGCGAGGCCGGCGACGGTCAGCCCGTGGCCCTGACGCCCGGCGCCCTCGATCTCTTCGTCTTCATCCGCGGCGTCTGGGCCGTCATGGAGCCGTCCGAGGCCCAGATTCTCGAAACGCCGCTGGCGCCGCTGGCCGGCAACGGCCTGTCGCATCGGCTCGATCCGAGCAGCTTCAAGTGAGTCGCCTTCCCTGCCTTGCCATTGTCCCTTTCCCTCCCATCTCGCCACACCTCCACCCCTGACCTTGATGTTCGCATGTTGACCGTGAACAACCGCCCCCGGCAGCAAATCCACGCTGCGCTTCTCCATCCTGCCCGAAGACATGTTCGACGCCCTCGACGACACGTCGACCTTTTACGAGACGACCCTCGACGGGCCCAGCAGGCACGACTACGTCCACGCCGTGCACCTGCTGCGGCGCGCCGTGTGGTTGGTCGCCGGCGCCGGCGCGCAGCCCGAGTCGCACATGATCATGTTCATCCCCTACCGGGTCGAGGACAACCTGCGCCTCGACATCATCGCGTGCCGGCCGCACGCCATGGTCTTCCTGGCGCACTTTGCCGTGCTGCTGCGCGCGCTCGAGACGCGGTTCTGGTACTTTGGCGGGCTGGCGAAGCGCATGTTCGCCGTCGTCGACGAGAGCCTCTCGCGGTTTCCGGTGCATTTGGATGCCGTGCTGTGGCAGAGGAGACATGTATTCGAGAGCTACGAGTCATAGCGGAGGGGGGTGGCATCAGGTCATAGAGAAGATTTCAACGAATAAGTGCAGCATGTAGAAATTAGAGTCGCATGACGATTTATTGCGTCGAGCTATCGAGTGTGCTTGTGAATTGGAAGCTTCATGATCTTGTTTACGATGATCCAGGGGGCCAAGCGGACCAGATCACAGTCAACCCCGCGCCGGTGACGGCTCATGAGATGCAACATAACCCGTGAGACAAGTTGAATGAGTGAACAGAGCGTATACACTGGCGCGCACAGCCCAGCTTGTCTACCATGAAATCTGCTCTACGCATAGCCACAGCGATGAGTTGCCTCTCGGATAGTTTTGCGAGACCGCGGAAGCCGCAGCGTTGGGCGAGTCATGCAACCAACTAGACTTTTGTCTCGCATCCATGCCTCGTCAATCCATCGTATCTCGCTCGCATCTCTCGCAAGACTACAGCAACAGACGCGTCAAACCCATGCAAGTATCGTGCTGCTGAATCGACAATGTCCTCTCCCTTCGCATATCGGGCTCAAGGAGGACGGGCTCCCGGAGGCTTACTTCGCCAGGGCGACGATCCATGGAGGAGGACCCGCCCGCTGAGAGGTGAATATCAGCCGCCCCTGACTATATATTTGGGGACTCCCTGGTGTAGTTGACTGGCATGTGTGTCGACAATGCCATCGCTTCAAGCCATCTTGTAACCTACAGTACAGCCTTTTGTCCTCCAGTTTGACTACCTTCATCCACCATCACGAGCATTGAACGTTCCGCCGCCATTCGAGACGCCCAGCCCACCGACTAGCAAAGGTCTTCCCTTCGTCTATCCGATGCAAACGTTCAATATGATACTCTCTCGCGCAGAGCTGCTCCCCTACAAAGAGGGCATTTACCTCTGGAAATACGTGCCATCACTGGCACTCAGCATCATTTTTCTCTCACTCTTTGGCGTTCTTTCGCTCGCCCATACGTGGAGGATGTTCCAACACCGCTTGTGGTTTTGCCTACCGTTTGTGGTCGGAGGGTATCGTGCGTATCCCATCGTTTCCGTGGGACGCTGTCCTTGGGACCCTGTGCTAACAAAAGGGAACAGTCGAGGCCGTCGGCTGCGTAGGCCGAGTCATAGCCCGAAACGACACGAGCGAGCTCATGCCCTACATCATCCAGTCCATCTTCCTGCTTGTCCCGCCCTCGCTCTTCGCCGCCAGCATCTACATGGTCCTTGGCCGCATCATCCGCGGTCTCGGCCCCCGCGCCGTGGCCCTCTCCATCATTCGCCCTACATGGCTCACCAAGGTGTTCGTCGTCGGCGACGTCTCCGCCTTTGTCATCCAGGCCGGCGGCGCCGGCATGATGACGAGTGCCACGAAGAAAGACCTGGGGAAAACCACCGTCATCGTGGGCCTGTTTGTTCAGATTGTCTTCTTCGGCCTCTTCGTCCTGGCGGCCGTCATCTTCGACGTGCGGTACAGACGCGGCCGCGACGGCTTCAGCGTCGTCGACGCCGACACGGCGCAGCTGCGCGACGGGGCCGTCGTTGCCCGGGGCGAGCCGTTTGACTGGGCGAAGCTCATGATGATGCTGTACGCCACGTCGGCGCTGATCCTCGTGCGCTGCACGTTTCGCATCATCGAGTACATCATGGGCCCGGAGGGCTATCTCCTGTCCAACGAGTGGCCGCTTTTCGTCTTTGACCTGACACTCATGGCGTTGGTCATGGCCATTTTCTTTGTCTGGTATCCTTCCACTATCAAACCGTTTCCGGTGACCGACTCGGTCGGTTTTGAGCTGGCCGCAGAGACCAAAACCAAGCGCAGTCTTGTCGGAAGAAAAGTCTCTGGAGGAGTGGTGTAGGGCCAGAGGACCATTAAGGACTCCGTGACAGACCTCGGTCATATGGGCAGCCTTGCATCGGGAGGACCGGCGACATATGACGAGAAATCTGTTGCTGTTTTGTGAGGCGAGCTGATACTGTGTCTCAAATTTTATCTAGGGTGTGAAACTAGATCGGGTGGGAGATTCGGTTTGTTAGATTTCTGATGGTTGACCTAAACAGCATTTGATGAGGTTATCCCTGGCGAGCAGTATTGCGGCGAACCGCTTTCATAGCTTGTCATACTTGCGCATTATCCAGTATTGCAAACAAAGGATTTCAATGGAACAGTCCAGCATGAGACGTAGACAAGCACCGGGTCGTCACATTAGCTAACCTATATAACCTCTTTCAAGGCTCCTTCAACATACCGAAGTCAGAGCTTCCACTTGTGGAACGAATTGCAATACACTTCGGATCCCACGTCACATCATGCGCCGTGGCCCAGTCCATGTATGCCGCTCAAGGTTTGCCTCGTCCGGCCCTTAGCGCCGTCGTGCCAGCCGCCTGCCCAACCACCAGCGCGCCTCCCGAGACGGTGTCTCATCTGCTGGAGCCGGGGGCCCGCCAGACCTCTTGCGGCACGATCGTACCTTTTCTAACCCCATCGGATAGGGCAGTAAAGCTGTCAAGGGCAGAATTCCTGGCAGACCGGCGTCATGGGCGCACTCCGACTTTCCGGGAGGTCTGGTTTCAGCGAGCGTGTTGCTTCAGCATGACGACATTGAGTGTTGCGAAAAGGCATAAAACAACGACAGCCCGCAGGGTTGACCTCATGAACTCAGATCCATTGAGTACTGGAAAATACAGCATTCAATCATCAACAAAGTCAAATTTCAATATGGACTTCATCAAGAAAGTGGCCAAGTCGGGCAGCGCTGACAAGGGCGCCAGCGGTGATCAGGCTGCTGCGGGCAACCAGGACTACGCTGACAAGGGTACGATATGGCATGAACGCGTTGTGAGACGGACAGTTGAGCTAACAAAAACTCTAGCCTTCGACTTTGCCAGCAAGAAGTCGGGACATAACATTGATCGCAACACACAAGAGAAGATCACGGACGGCGGACGATCTGCCTATGAAAAGGCGACGGGGTGAGTACTTAGCTGTGACAGGGGCGTTTTGTACATTACGCGGACTAATGGCGACACAGTTCCAAAGTGTCGGACAAGATCTCGAACTGAGGTGCAATGTAGTAGGGCCATAAATAAACATGTTCTCAGCTGATATGCTGTCGTCTTCAATTCGCCATGCGAACGTCCCACGCTGAGTTCGCTGTAACATGTGACAGCCAGACCGGGCTACCCTTTTAGAACAAGATTTGCCAAGAGCTCCGACGCAGGGTCCAAACTAAGGGAGGGGTTCCTGAGGATGCTAGGATCTCATCAATTCGCGATACACCGCACAAGACCATGCAGTCGATCCTAGACAAGCTGAAGGAGACAGTCCAGATGGACCCCGCACATGTTGCCATTGCCACGCCAGCTGACGACAAAACGGTAGCCGTGACACCGCCCACTCCCGGCTCAAACGGATCGTGGCCGTCGCGAGAGACAGCGAAGGTTCAGCTCGGCAGCCTCTAGCGGCCCGCCCAGCTCGGCCTCTCCCCCACTCTCTATTTTCACATCCACCTGCAATCTGCCTCCTTCGGGGATCTGTGCTGTACTGTACATGGTAGGAATGCTGAGCATCTGGCTCGCTGCAGCACTGCACCATCACGCAGGCTCCACCGGCCGCAGCAATCCCGCGTGCGTCGCGACCACGATGCCCTCAAATCTGCCACTCACAACCGAGATGGCCCGACCTACCCCGCAGCGATTAAGCTTCGGGTTCAGCTGACACCATCGCGGCCTACCCCTCCTCGTCCCTGCTGTTCCCTGTTGTCCCGGCTCCTCAGTGTCGCTCCCTGATCTTCCCCTGCTCGGGTGCCCCCCCTGGCACATCCCGAGCTTCCCTGGCAGTGCTTGTTGGCACACACACCAACGGGGAGAAGCTGGACCCTCCGTGCCGCCAGGCCTAGGACCCAGGACCCCTCCTTATTGATATCCACCGTTCCGGTGTTGATGGGGGGGGGGGGGGGGGGGCACCAGCAACGGGCCCCTCCGTTCCCATCCTGCCTGGTTTTGGGAGGCCTGCCGTCTTTGGGACCTGGATGGACCCTCATTGAGCTACAAACTAACTACCTGCGTGCCTTGTCTGTTTCCAGCTACCTTGGCTTGCCTGGCGTGAGGTGGTGAGTGGGTTGGGTATATAATCATCTCCCTCATCACCTTCCCCGCCATCACCCCTCTTCTGCCCACCTCGACACATCGCCAGCAGCATCATCATCTACACCAAGAACAACCTTGACTCCAAACCCCAACACTCTTCTTCACAATGGATTTCTTCAAGAAGGCCGCCGAGTCCATCTCCAGCAGCAGCAACAACAACAACAACAACAACAACAACAACAACAACCAGCAGCAGCAGCAGGGTAACAACAACAACAACGCCAGCGGCAGCACCCAGCAGCCCCAGCAGCAGCAGCAGACCGACGACTACGGCGACAAGGGTAAGCTTCCTCACACATGGCTCTTGGGCCACCCACATGTCCTCGCTTCCCTCCGCAGCTCCGTCACAGCAGTGTCAAGCATCAGCCGACTAACTGTGTCCCCGCAGCCTTCGCCGCCCTCGCCTCCAAGACCGGCTACTCCCTCGGCCGCGACACCCAGGAGAAGATCACCGACGCCGGCCGCGGCGCCTTCGAGAAGGCCTCTGGGTACGTCTCACCTCCTCACTCCCCCCATGGCCGGGCAGAATAGACGGGCCATGGGAAAAGGGAAAAAGAAAAGAAAACACCCATGAACGCATGACTAACAACCACAACAGCCAGAAGGTCCCCGAAAAGTTCTCCAACTAAAGCATCTCCTTGCTGGGCATGCTGATGATGATGATGATGATGAAGAAGAAGTGCGGGATAGATACGCTGTCGTAATGGATACCACTCTTGAGACCTCACCTCTTGTTTGCCGAGACTTTGCCCGTCGCCCTCTGAAGTTTTCGGCGACCTCGTGCCAAGCCGTGACCCAAAAAGCCGTGACCCAGAAAGAACTAAACGCGAGGGTGCGTCCTGTCTGTAGGCGTACTGATCGAGCCGTCACAACTTGGTAAAAAGGTACCCGCAAGGCCGCATTCGGCTGCAGGTATGACACTGGGTTGCTCGGAGGCGGGCGGCGTGAATGCTCACCAGCGACTTGGGCCCCTTCGAGGTACCGTCACAGTCCATGCATCTTGAACTGTGCAAATTTTGGGATTCATGGCTGTGCTGGCCTTTGCGTCCAGAGTGTCATCTGCCGTCGGTCCCGAGTGTCTGGATTCATCAGTGGCATGAGCTCCTACTGTCACATGGAAAAATGTTGGCTGCAGATGAGCATGGGTTCGTCTAATCTCTATCTGCAGAAAGGGAAACATCATGAAGTCAAACAACCGGCCCTGCCAGACCGCAAACACCTCAGATGCCAAACGCCCGCCAAATCCATATATCGCACAATACGTGTCAACCCGAACTGTCATCGTGCCGTGGCGCACAAACGCAAACCGTTCACGACGAAATCCACGGCCATGAGGAAGCAGCGCAGGTTGCCTCTATTACCGAACGCCATGTCGCAGTGCCTCTCCGTCCAGATGCCTGGGTCATGTAGTGCTCCCTTGCTAGGATCATGCACACGCCTGAAGATTAACAACGCACCTCGAATGCTGTGCGGCCTCTCTGACTCGTAATGAAATGTCGTCTGTCGCTCCCATCGCATGTTGATGAACAGGCATCGCGAGCCTGCAATAGCACTCGATCCTCGTCCGCTCTCGCCCCCATTGCAAGAATGACCTCCTCCGATACCACTACCTTGGCGAGATCGACACGCGGCATGTCATCTGCAAATGTAAGGCTCTCTGTTGCCGATCATACAACCCGGTTGCGACGAGCCTCTCGCAATGCCCGGAGGAAGTGCAGCCACCTGATGACCGTGTGTCATCAACAATTCCAGAGTGAACCTGAGGAAAGGCTAGAAGGAGAGCTAGGGTCGCGACAAGGGAACGGGCAGTGGGCGTAGGTACCCGTGGAAATCTGGCTCTCCGGGAAATGGTGTCGAAGCCCAGCCCCAAGTGATTCCGCGTTCTCTATGGGAACGTCAGCGCCAGCGCCAGCGTTCACTTTCGCATCCTCGCTCCCGAATTAGCCGGCAGGCGCATCCTCCTAACCGCGGGTGTTGGCTGCGGCGGCAGAGGCTCCCTTCGGGTTGAGATCAACGATGAAATCCCAGCCACCTGTTCAAGTCAGTCAGTAGAGGCTTATGGGGCTAGATGGGGAAGAGACATACCACTAGCAAGGTTCTCCGCTGTCGTCTCGAGCAGGATGATTCGGCGCTTGTTACAGTATGACGTCTTGTCGAGAATATCAACCTTGAGCTTGCGGTCGGCGAGATCCGTGACTGGCTTTTCAAACATTTCTGAGAGAGCTTCCACTGCCATTTCAAGATCCTTTTGGTTGTCCTCAAAGATGGCCGTCAGGTTGTTGCGCGCGAGATAGAAAGCAAAGGCGTAGGTCCACTTCAGTGTTTGGCGGCACGTCTGGAGCGTCTGGGACGCCGAGTTGAGATATTGGACCTCGATCCATGACATGCCAGACTCCTTCTGCAGCTGCACCATCTTCTTTTCCGTCTTGTGGTAAATGTCCTTGTCGAGCTTGGCCGACTGCTCATGGTTCGCATAGCGGTTGTAGTAGTGGAGGTAGCGCTCTAGCGACACGCGTGACTTGGCCTGCGCATCACGGGCATCGGTGCCGCTCTTCTCTTCAAAGCGGTTGCAGTTGTACCAGCTCGTGCCGTGTTCGGACCACAGACCCATGCACATCCAGCAGAACTCGTGCTTGCACTTCCTGCACGTCATGTGGTTGCAGCCTCCGTTCTTCTCGATGGTGCTGTTACAGCGGGGGCACTCCTTTGTGTTGGCCGATATCCAGTTTGCCGTTTCCGAATCGTCTGCGCACTTCTTCAGCCACAGCTTGACCAGGCTGCAGGGGGCCGGCTGGTGATCAGTCAGGATGCAGCCGAAGCAGAACCGGTGGCCACAGGCGCAGGCAACCGTGGGCACTACCTTGTCGAGATCCTTCTTCTTGACGCCGCACTCAACGGCGTTGACGCAGTCTGGTGCTGGGCACCACTTGAGAGCATCCTTGTCTTCCACATAGGTCCTGTTCAGCAGTTCCTTATACCGCCCGCTCAGTTCGGCCGTCACGAGAATGTCGAGCGACTTGGAGTCGAGAATCCGACCGCAACGGTCAGCGGGGCACTGGATGCGCGCCGCCTCGCCCTCCTCCCTGATCTTCTGGTTCAGGTAGTGTCGGTAGCAAGCGACGCAGTATCGGTGACCGCACTTCATGGCGAATGTCTCAAGGTCGGCATCATCCTCACAGCAGATGTCGCACATGAATCCGGGTATGGTTTCGAGTCGTGGAGGGCCAGTTACGTTTGTGCCAAGTCCTGCCGCTTCGAGAACCTTGTTCGGCCTGTCCATGTAGTCCTCGATCAATCTTTCCTTGTTCCAGCGGAAGTGTCGTAACAAGATGGCCACATCTTCCTTGCGAAGATTTAGGATCATGTTGACCTCGTCGATCATGTCATCTTGTTGTCGTTGAATGTCCGTAGGCTCATACACCTTGTAGGATATATCGTAGGCAACCTTCTTCTTGTTCTCGGCGTCTTGGCTTACGCCAAAGTCGGGGTCTTCTTCGTCAAACTCATCTTCGAAGTCTAAAGGCCAAAGAAGGTCAGCTACAGGCGGTCGAGATGCAAAGGGTTGGCTGGCTGGGGGGGCGGGGACACATACTATCGTTGTCGTCGGAGAACTCCTGCATCTCCTCATCACTCGACATGGCAGACATGAAGTCTTCCTCGGAATCCATGCCGTTGGTGGCGGGTGTTGGCGGGGCTTGTGGTTGCAGCGTGGCAGCTGAGGCGATCCTCTTACTGGGTGGTGCTACAGCAGGCTGGGAGGGGATCGTCGCCTCAGCGGCCTTTCGCTTCCTCGTCGTGGGAGTAATGGTGGCGGCCGCGAGGGGTGTGATTGGAAATGGCGGTCGAGCGTGGAGTGCGGAGGGCGTGATGGGTAGCCCGCAAGGAAACGGGCCAGAGATGATGCTGTTCGACAAAGACTTCCTAAGCCGTGGCCGAGGACTGAGGGGTTGTGTGACTCGAGCGGGGAGGCAAGCAAAGGCGAACCAAGTACCAACGTCACTTGCTGGTAGAGTACTGCGTTGTTGCGCTGGCCAGGGCGTGGTAGACAGGGACGCGGGGGGGGGGGGCCAAAAGGCACTGTTGATGTGCTTATGATTCGAGTGGTGAAATAGGAGGATACCGATGGATGTCGAAGATCAGATCCTGGTTCAGATGGGGGAAGCAGTCGCGTTGGTGCCTTGTATGGTATCGATAAGGTGAGAGTCCCGGGGCTCGAGTGTGGTGGTGGTGTGTCGGGTGCGGCTGGTGCGGCCTCAAACCAGGCTTGCCAGGCTGATGGCGGCCCTTTGGGCCAGTGGAGGCTCGAATCCAGCTGGTCGGCACAGGGCGAATGACGCGGGACGGGGGGCAAGGGGGCGTCAGGCGATGCCGTGACTGGACAGCACAGGGGCAAGGGACATGTGACCCGCTTTGGGGGACCGGGGATACTTCGGGCGCAAGCAGGGGCTTTCCTTTTGGTTCAATCCTACATGGAAAAAGAGCCACCACCAGCCCTATGGCGATGCCGCTGAAGCCTATTTACCTACCTTGCCTACCTAGATAGCTGCTTGAGTAAGTACTTAGGCAGGTGGTATCTCACCTCAATTCGGGCTGGCTCGAGTACGGATGCAGTGACGTTTGCGTCGAGAAAAGAACAACAGGCACAGTAGTCGCTTTTCGTGGGCTTATTGGTTCATATGGTTTCATTGACAACCCTCGCATGATGATGATTCAAAGTCCAACCGGCCGATCCTCCCTCCCTGCTCGCCTAACTCCTACATGTAAAGCCACTGACTCCTGTCCATCGCAGAGAAGATGCTGTCCATCCGACAGGCTTGGGTATTATACAAAATTCTTGCACTTCAACCAGACGCCCACGCCGCGACACATGCATGGCCGCCTGAATTTTCGAACCGGCACAGTCCCGGGGTTTTTCCGTCTATACGTGGGTGTCATCGTGTACAGACACTCAGTTCACCTGTCTTCCAAGACTCGTTGTCCAGTCTTGACCTCAAGCATACAAGAACCGTGAGAGGTTTAGGCTTGCGTTGCCGCTGTTTTCGTCACCCACGATGCCGCCATCCTTCTCGTCGTCCAGATCATTCTCCTCGTCGCTATCAGGTATCATGTCTTCACTACCCACTGGCCTGTTGAGAGCCTCAACCTCATCGAGATCAACCTTGGGCAGAGGGACGAAAGAAGGATTGACAGGCAATGCCATCACGCTGTTTCGCTGGTTGCGCCTCTTAGGGCTAGCCTTTGGCGATCGAGGCCGGTTGTGTGTCATCTGTTTGCGGGAGAGGGCGCGCTCGCCAATGCGTTGGAGTGGCGTCAAATGTTGCTTCTTCAAAGCCTGGGTGATAGAGGGCTGGGTGGTAGATTGTGTCGCCGAAAAGGCAACAGAAGAGGCGGCAGTCGATGGTGCCCCGGTCGACGGTGTAAAGACAGATGCTGCTTGCGACCTGACCGACGCGGGCGAGCCGATGGTCGCGGCTGAACGTGTCTGGTTGTAGGCGAATGACTGTAGCGAACGAAGCGGAGTGCTTTTGGGTGGCTCGGGAATGAGGCTCTGGCCTTGGCTCTCATCCTGTGTTTCGACCACAAAGGCTTCAGCTGTGCTTGTTTGCGTGTTTGTGAGTTCGTCGTCCCGGGTGCTGAACTGGCTATCTTTCATAGTTGTTGCGTCCGAGGACTGTGATGGGGATTCCTCAAAAACGGTAATGGACCGTTGGGGTTTAGATGGTACTCGCCATCCGTCGATATCTGGTAGGTTCATCAAAGCCTCGTCGATCGAATCGTCCGAGAACAAGTACGAGTCCATTGGCGCTGCCTTCTTCTCGATTTTGGGGAAGAACTTGCTCCGATGTCCTGCCTCGGGAGCACATTGGCCAACATCCTTGTCGGAGCAGAGACGGGCCTTCTTAGGTGGGCCTTGCGTCGTTCCCATCATCAACGCATCAATCTCTGCAGCAGTCGTGGGAGGGATGATAGAGCTCTGGCGACGAGAGGGTTCGGATGAACTGCTGCTGGCTCGTGAAAGTAGAGCCCCCGCCGGTTCGCTGCGTCTGCGCAATGCTCTTGGAGACGTTGAAGTGGTGGCAGACTGCACTCGCCGGGTGCTGGGAGCAGCAGCGCGAGTTGTAGCCTCGTCGAGGTACGGTCGAGGCAATGGGAAAACGCGGGGCACAAGGCCGTTCTGGGTGAGTGCAGCGACTCGCTGCGGGTCGACAGAGAAGCAGTTGGGATCCATGGCGCCCATGGGAATCCGCCCACGGTTCTTGAAATAAGTGTCAATCGGCTTCGTCGGCGTGTGGCTCCCGGTACGAGAGGCTGCCATCGCAGCTGTCGAGGCGATAGGGGAGGCTGTAGGGCGAGCAACCGTTTGAGAGTGGCGACGCTTTGACTCGGGCATCGCAGCAGGGATGATGGGCAGCTTGGTCATTGGGTTCAGATGTCCAGTCGCTACACCCCTCGCAATGGTAGGCTCGACAAATGCGCCAATGAAGGGCATATCATTGACACCCTGTCCTTCCTCTGGCTCTGTCAAGAAAACAAGCTCCTTCTTCTTGGGACAGTAGACTCGTTGGTACAAGAATGTCAGCTCGGCTTTGGTAAAGTTGGCAAGATAGTCCTCCGACACACGATGCTTTGCTTCGAACTGCATCATGCGGACGAGACGTTCAGGTGTCTTGTGCTGTCGAACCATGCGGTATGCCGTCTTCAAGCCCATATTACTAACACCGGCAAGGTAATCACAGCCGCTCAAGATGGCCATGCGTCGAAACTCAGCGTCTGTCCATCCAGTAAGGGACACCTCTCGGCAGGCGGCAAAGTCACGGCGGTTGATTTCGATGCAGTTGCCGTACTGGTCGAGCTTGGTCAACAGTCGCTTGCAGCCAAACACCAGTAGATCAGAGTCTTCTGACAAGATACCACCGATGATTCCTTGACGTTCGAGGTAGACGAGCTGCGAGTCAGCCTCGTATGGTGCCACGACGTACTCGACGTGGATCTTCTTGAGCTCATCGATGAGGTTGCGAGCCATCTCGGGGGTTACGTCAATGGATTTTTGAAATTCCGCAAAGGCCTGTGAATTTTTGCCGGCTTTCAGCAGTTCCATTCCCATCTTCTTGCTGTCGTCTCTGCGTTTGGCACGAGAGCCTTCAGTCATCGCTTTGCTGGGGAGGAAGTCGCCGTCGAAGACAAGATAAGGCGTGACGCCGAAATGGCGCAGCATTCGTACACGGTGCATGGCGAAGTCGACATATCTATTACCGTTGGATTAGCAAGGCGGAAAGGGTCAGGCGAGGAGTGGCGTGACTGACTTGCGGGTGGGCTTGCCTTGGGCAAGCTCGAGGGCACAGGCGATGGCCCCACGATGAAGCCAGCCATAGGCATCGACACCAAGCGTCTCGCCGGCGAGCTTCTTCAATTCAGTTGGTTTGTGGATTGACTTGAGCAAGGGAAGTAGTCCTGTGGGAGGAAAACGTTAGCATACTTGGTCTGGAGGGCGACTGATGCCTTGAGAGCAGGATTGAATGGTGCAGGGCCTTTATTACCAGAGACGCCCATTGTCACGATTGACAAGCCCAACAATGACGCAGTCGTATGTAGAATAGGCAGTCGAAAGGACCGATGCCCAGTTGCGCAAGGCAAGCAAGCCTACAATGCACGAACAACAAATCAAAGATCCATCCGATGTCGTCAGAATCGTGATTCGGCAGGTCTCGTGGTGGGTGTCTGAACGGCCGAGGTCGAGATGGGAATTGTTATGGTCTACGCGAGCTGGAGGATCCGAAAGTAAACAAAGATGCAGAGGCGAGACGGACGTGGCGGATGGCGAAGGCGAATGCGCTCAAGTTGACAAAGTACTGAAGATGAAGGAGAGCTGGAGGTTGGAAAATACAGAAGTAGCGAGAGGCAGGCCAGGTGATCAGGAGCGGACGAAGCCTTGGATGTAGTCTCACCACGAATGTTGGAACGCGGGTCTCATCGCGTCTGCGGGTCCCATCTGAAGGCTCACCCACGGTCCATCGCGCCTGGCGTCTGGTCGTGTGGAGTGTGAATTCCTACGCGACCTCGGATGGGACTAGCGTGTGTGCACGGTCCACACAAGAAGCCGCAGCGTCATGTCAAGTGCTACCCGCCGCCGAGAAGCCTTCTCTCGCTATCGCGTCTCTTATCGCCCCGCATCTGCAGAACCCCACCAGAATTTTCAGATCCCTGAGATCTTCACCGTCCATCTCGCCTCATCGAGGACGCCCTGACGACTTTTGACGTTGACGGAGCTTGCGATATACGTGAAACATTCGACCAGTCTTCTCACATACAATCACTTGGTCCAATAACGCCCTTGACGCCATGGCGAAGACGCTTGAGAAAACCCGCAAGCAGATTGCGAAGAAGCGCAACGGCACCGTAGAAGCCCTTCATCTGTATTCACGAGACTCCAAGCGCCTCCACCGTGCTTCTGTGAGAGATGAGAAGCTGGGAAAGCTCGCCTCGTCACGAGGCAAGAAGGAACAGCCACTCCGTAAGCAATTCCAATGGCACGCTTGGACAAGTTCGCGGCTGATCAGAAACCTTGTGTCTAGTCGACCGTGCCAACTTCTTCAGGGATGCCGTCATGGAAAGGGGTACCAAGCCCCTAGAGATGGGTGTTGTCCAGGAGCTCATCAACTCGTATGTCACTCCCAGCCACTTCCGGCTGAGCCTGCTTTGCTTTTGTTTGGCCATATTCCTTTCTAACGACCTTCAGGTTTGTTCACCAGCATGATGAGGAGCACAGTGAGGTCAAGAAGACTCGCCGCCCCGGTCGCCCAGCCAGCGCCCAACAGGACCTCCTCGAGGCAAAGATCAAGAAACTGTTGGAAGAACAGAAGAACGGCTTCTGTGAGTGATTCAACAAGAGCAATCATACTCCGTTGTTGGCTAATTGTTTCTCAGTCATGCCTGATCTCACAAGCGACGACAACGTTCATTTGCTGGATCGTTGGGAGGGCTCCTGGGCTTACCTCACATCCGTTGCCTGGGTTCGCGTGGCCTCTGACAAGACAGTCAAGCCTGCAAGCTTCCCTCCCATGTGATGATGACGTGGCAATTCATCGGCAGAGCTCATGCATGCATTTAGCGATTGGCGTTATGGTTTTCTGCTTTTACAATGACGGGATACTTATCTTCGGCTCACATTCTCGACTCCATGGGTGGTTTCTCGTCGGCTCTTCGAGCTTGCATGTTCTGTGTTTTGGCGAACCGCAAGTGGCGTTTGGACTTCGGGAGTCCGGGCCCCGGCACGGGTCGAGCGTCGACGGCCAGACCTTTCGGCTACGTGCCGCTGCCTCGCATCCTCGGCGGCAGGGCTAGGCAACGAAGCAGGCCGGCATCCTTTGTTGGTCCACTGGATTCTTTGCCCCTCAGCCATGTCTTTCGGTCGAGTTACACCTATTGATGATATAATAGATCGCCTGGTATAGCTTCGTTGCGTCGTCTTTTGTGGCTGTCCCAGAACCTTACTGCTCACGGCTGGCTACACCTCATCTTCAAATTTCATCCGATCAAATGATCCCAAGGGTTTAGCCAAGATTCCAAATGACGAGACGAGACGAGACGAACCTTTCTATCGTACCTAAGACATCTGGCCATCTCACCCGTCTCTCCACCCAGCGGCTACCCCTGAGATGCCATGCTTGTGTCACCTACCCCGTCCGTGGCTTCACGCCGCTCGCCGTCCATCCCATCTGTGAACCCCCTTAACAGTGCCCGCTTGTAGCTGCAAGCAGGCACCCATACGACCCGGCCACGTGTGGTGTTTTCTGAACCTCGATCTGCCCAAGATGACGGAGCTGGCGTCTCGGGCTGCCGGCCGGTCATTCAGCCTGTCTGGCAATAAGTACCTCCTTGTCGCATACTTAAACAGAGCGCATCTCCAGCCCCGGGACCAGAGTGCTACATCACACAGCTAGGGGCCCGAATCCTCCTCCAACCCCGGCCTCAGGTTGATGCGGATACACACCTCAGCGTTGCTGTTAGTGGGGTTCCTCTGCTTTTTAATCGGCGTCAAGTGTCGTGCAATCAGGTTTGATGCGCTGTTTTATCTAAATCTCTAAGGAGAGAGAAAGAGGGGTCGAAGCCTGTTGGCGAATATCTCTCACCACCACATTTGTCAAATTCTGGTTCGTCAGCATGAAGATGGAACACTCTCCAGTGACCATTTGAGGTTTCTGTAAGACAGGTTGGACTGCTACACACGCAGTGTCGATCAAATATATCTGAGGACGGATCTACACCGTCAGGCAATTGCACCCTCAGACCCCACAGCTCTCAACCCACTCGAGAACCTATGGTCGTCGATCCTCACTGTTCATCGATAATCCAAATCAGTGGTCCTGAAAGTATGACCCGCCGGTTCCTTGCCAAAGCGATAGAGTTTGTAGATCAAGGGCACTAACTCGCATGGCAGATCATGTGCAAGTACATCACACACCTGCGAGTCTGCTACGTCTGCCATCATGAAGAGACGGTTCTCATTACCGAGAGCCCGTGCCCGCCGCTGAGGGGGAGAGGTGCGTTTGGCAGCTGCCAGACTGGGACTGGCAACAAGACAACATGCACTCCGTTCCAATGCTGGAAGTGCAAAGAGAGAGTGCATCGCATATCACAAGTCAGATCACCGCGTCATGTATCATTGCGTTGACTTCTATAACGTACGCCAATACAACAAGCATGACCAAGTGACGCTATTCAACCTAGATGAGGTAGCGAAGGAACACTGCCCAGGCGCTGACAATGATGCTCACGAGGAACCCGAAGGTCAGGGCAGTGAACCAACCCTTTGACGTCCTCTTCGTCAGAGGATCCAAGTCCCTGTCGACGACCAACGCCTCGGCCGCCTCCCGGCTTCGGCGGGTCATTGTCATGCCCTTGCCGAGAAGTTTGTAATCGACAATAATGTATGAGATGCCCAAGACGAACGCCCATGCCTTGATGCCTATGGCGACAAGAAGGACTCTGTTGTAGCCACCACCGTCTGTTCCATCTTGGAGAACACCAAAGACAACGTCCATCTGGCTTTTGCGTTAGCGTTGACCGTCTGTTTATGACCCACTCGGGAAAGACTTACGATGGTGGATCCGGAATTGTTGAAGGCTCGCCAGACTCCAAAGGCTGTGCCAATTTTTGCTTGGTCCGCCACGAGGAGAGGAATGCAGATCTGCAGCGGCATCGAGTTGATGACGCCCGCCAGGCTAGAGAAGACCAGTCCCACGGTCGGGTGCGCGTCGGTGAATCCCAGGATAGAGCATGCGATGATCCAAAAGACCGGAGCTGTGGCGACGTAGTGGAAGCGGTGACCGTACGTATCGATGGCGAGACCGAGCACAGGGCTGAGCACGATGGGCAGAATCTTCTGCGCCGTGGCCAAATAACCGGCCACCTCCTCAGTGTACCCCTTCATGAAGATGATGTCTGCGGAGCTCGTGCTGAAGCCTCCAGCTGCTCCGCTCTGCAACAGCTGGGTTGCCGGGAGCATGAGGTAGGCCCACGGAAGTTGGAAAAGGACGTTCCAGGAGAACCGCTTCTTGGTGTGAAGGTGTTGCTTTGAGATGGCTGCGGCACGACCGGACGTCAAACGAAGATGCTGGGGGATGACGAATCGTTCGAAACAAACGTAGGCGATGTTGACAAGAAGTGAGAATGCACAGAAGAATACGGGAATCCAAAAGGTCCAGCCATACCAGCCGGTGCCGTCGCGAATGGGGATTGCAACCATGCCAGATACGAGACTGATGGTGTTGGCGATGGCGCTCTCTAGGCCAAACGCAAATGCAAGTCCGGAGGCTCCAAACCAGTGGTAGAAAAACTAGGCAGGACGTCAATGTGGGAACCGAGACTGGGCTTGTTTGTTGAAGATGGGTCATTACCTTCTGAGTGGCCGAATCGAGGACTGCGATGCCGAAGCCCATCAAGACATGACCGCCGACGAGCACCCGCCAAAGACCAACTTGAACACCGGCAGCAGCAACAACTGATCCCACCAGGATGACGGTCGTGCAACAGAGTGTTACAATGTTGGGTCCCCACCAATCGAGGATGAGGCCTCCCACAATGGGAAATATGGTGTTGACGAAGGCATCTGCGCTGCTAAGCACACCAAACTGTGTGTTGTTGATGCCGAGTTCTTCTCGAAGGGTGTTCTTCAGTGGGCCAAGTGCCGAGCCGGTCCAGGTGTGGCCGATGGGAAGGGAGATGACACAGATGAGGGCAATCCACTTGTAAGTCCAAGGGATCTGGGGGGCAACATTTTGATCGTCGTCCTCTGCGCCATTGACCTCGACAACCGGCTGTTTCGTCTCCTCGTTATGAAGATCGCCACGGATCTGCTGTGAAGCGACGGCGTCCATCCTGATTCCTAGCACAACGTCGTGGGGCTATGGCTGCACCTGGGCTACGAATGACCAGGAGGCCAAGTGTCTGGAATTGTAAGGCCCATTGTCAATTTATACTCGATCTGAAGAAGCAATACGAGCTCCGCTAGGCTTGCAAAATCACGCAGGTTTTGCATTCAATATCAGTGCAAGTGATCAGATAAGATCATCTTTGGCGGGCTTTCTTGCAGACGTCGGTGTTCTTGCCGCTCTTCATCTTATCAGATGATTCTGGACGTCTTGGCACACCAATTTACAACCAATCTTTCGTGTCGTAGTCTTAAGCTTTTTTTGACTTTGTGGATCGAATCCATTACTGGCGTCGGATGGATGCCGCTTGCATTGTGGCAGTGCTGGAATACCGCGAAAAATCCACCCGGACAACGTACGCACGGGACTGAGGACCTGGATCACTAGCCCGTCCACCGCATATTCCCGGACGGGCCCCGTGTTTCTATCTACGTTCGCCCTCTCGTTTCGGCTGCCCAGACTTACGATCCCAGTTCGAGTCCCGACTAGAGCTTCTGCAACTCAACGCCAAGCTCAGCCGACAACAAGGTGCGAATTGTTATGGTACCATGAGGGGCAGACCATGCCGCAAGTTCACGCGAGGAGGCCCATCCACGAGCCTATTACTGCCCTACGTTTAGAAGCACCCCGCTTGTGATGAATTTTCATTCGTCGAATGGACGGTCTGGTCTCGTTTTGCGGTTGAGATGCGGCTTTGTTGAGGTTGCTGATTAATGTCTGGACAGAGTCCAAATGTTGCCTTTGTTTCGAGACACAGAGGCTGGATGTCTAGCACTGGAACAAGGGCCTTTCTTTGATCTGCCTGAGGATTTTTGATCATTTGAGAATCTGCGAGCAGTCATCTGCTAGGCTACTTTCAATTTCTTGGCTACACCTTCGGCGACAATCTCGGAATGCCCTAACTTGTTGCAGAACAAAACCCGCGGTCTTCAAGGCGCCGCTTTCTCTGATCATGAGATAGAAACTCTGAATAACTGACCTCGTTGAGGTCAGCTACGTAACTTGCATCAGGGTGAACCTAAAGAAATGCATTTCATTACACGGCCAGTTGAGAATGCAAGTGAGGGTTACTTACCCTTGGCAGCCTTGATTTCCCACATTGTGTTGGTCTCGGTCCGAGATTTCTGTGTAAGATCGCAATGCCTAGTCCTTTGGGCTATATGAGCAAGCTGTTACAGCTCTGGTCGAGGCTACGTGCATAACTCGATGGCCAGAAACTCGGGCCTTCACAATCTGTACCCCTCTATCAAAATATGCTGTGTGCTTAAAGACTTTCTTGCAATTGCTCAAATGTATGGACTCGATCTAGTGACTTAAGGAGCGACGTGACCATGATTGATAGAGTACATGCACCGGAGCATAACGATGCTTTGTGAGCCCTGGCTAGCATCTCGCCCCCTCTTCCCCTTTCCCGGGCCTTGACCTAAATGACGCGCAGGCGTGAGGAAAGCATGCATAAGTGTATTAATTCAAGACTTGTCATGATATCTAGGGAGGATGCTGGGTTAGCTCTTTGCGTCGTATCCGCTGTTCCCGGTGTACTCCAGACACCATGCCAGCAGAATTCGAAAATCTGCGTCGGAGCTTTGAGCAAGCCTCGGGTTCAACATGGCTAGCGCCTCCAAGGATCGCGTCCGCCTCTTCGACTCAAGTAATTTTGCTAGACTTCATTGATGTGCTATATGTAAAACACCTTTTATAGATGGCTGCGTCCCTACCAGTGGTCTGTCAAGGCGGTGAATCTATATGGCTGACCTGGCCAAAACAAGGACAATGGCGTTCTAGCGCTGGCCTCATATCTCGAGAGTGTAGTAGTTGAAAAGGTAAAGGCCCTATGCGCCAAGAATTGCTACTCACAACCGAAGGAGCCTACTCGAGTGCCACTTTTCCACGATAGAACATAGCAAAGATTGCGCCAGCCTTCTTACCACATATTTCTTAGGCTCGACTGCATTAAGACACCAGTACCACTATGGCCTTGAGTATGTAATTCCTCGTCTTAAATCTTGTAAATCCTAGGGACACCGCATGCATTACCCTAGTCTATTAGAACTTACCTTTCAACCCAGTCTTTTGGTATTGTCGGGGTTGCCAGCAGATCAAATGAAACCACAGCCTCCGTATTTCGGTGAGATCACTATTGGAAGCAGGCTCAAAGTTAGCAAGCTTTGAAACATTGCCATAGATATGCTGTGCAGCCTGGAACCTTCTTGTATATCTTTCAGCCGACGGTCTGGTAACATGACGTCAGACAGCCTGATCAAAGCCTCACAACGGAGGACATTTGTCCAACCGTTAATGGCGACCACGTGTGCTGCCGACGATAGTGGCAGGGAGGACGTACCGAGATGTTACCAAAGAAGAATGCGATATAGGATAGAAGGTGCCCGACGTTGTGTGAAGGCAAGAAATGTCTGACCTCCAAACACCTTCAGCACCAGGCCGCTCGACACACTGCTCCAAGACTTCGACCACCTCATCGCGTTTTATTTATTTCATTGTCTGCAATGATGACACTCGATCTGATAGAAGTCTGCACAAATTGCACTCAACGGAGATGATCATCTACATGCCAAGTCGATCGAACCTTCCCCAAGAAAATGCCCAGTCGCGAGCAGTGAAAGCAACGTGGACACAAAAAGACCACATGCCAGAAAAGGAGTCCATCGCCCAGTGTGGACTCTAATTTACCCTCGCCCAAGGGGCCCACGCTTATCTTCGTATGCCCCCCTGCGGGCGAGCGGCGCAGACTGACAGCATCGCCCAACGGCGCAGCACGACCCTCGACCCTCAGACTCGACCGATTTAAGAGTGAGGCCAGTTTACCTCTAACTGGGATAAATGCCGTGGCCCCGGAAAACAACCTCCAGGTCTCGTGTATAAGAGAGGTCCTCAAGGAAGAACATGAAGGACTAGATGACACCCCGGATATAGTTCGATAATATCATTAGAATTCCTCATTCTTGGTATCGTCGCAGCATTGCAACGAAGGATCTGTCGAGTTCCCACTGGATCATCGAGGCGGAGCCGGATTGCGCCTCTGACGAGAATGAGCATGCAGATTTCGAGGCCACCAGTCAAGTGTCCTAGTCTGTGCCCCTCCATCGCGACGTACGTCAGCTGAGGCGCTCGCTCTGCATCTTTTTCGTGTATGATCCGCCATGTTCGAGCTGGCTGGCGTCTTGAGCTGCTGGGTGTAGATTTCCGGACGGTGCGCAGCGATCAAAGGGGCCTCGGCGGGCGCTTCTGGACAAGGCCGCGTGTCTAGTAGAGCTCCCCAGCAAGAATGCCTCAAGAAAAAATCGAAAAGACCAGCAAGCAGAAAATGGGCGTCAGATTCGATCTCCTGACTGTATATGTGTACAACAGTAGTAGTAGTAGTAGTAGTAGTAGTAGTAGTAGTATCCGTGGGGATGAGGAAAACAATGCCGCGCAACTCCAAGCCGGAAACCAAAAGTGACCGAACATTCTAATACAGGTATCTCGCCATGTCCCCGATGTATGCTTTCCTAAAAAAAAAAAGTCCCAATTCGTGCGCGAGTCAAAACGCCGTTTTCTCTCCTCTTTCGAACGGAAGGACCGACTCGCCACAGGCAAGCACGCCGAAGCTTCCTCCCTCGCCCTTCTACCCTTCCGACCCCGAAAGAAAAACGCCTTTTCTTGCTCCGGAAATAGTTGAGAGATCAATTGTGTGAACGTTGTTGTTTTTTCTTCTCGTATCATGTCTCAGTGTCGCTCAAGTCGGCCAGTATATCCTTCAACTGCTTGTCCATATTGCCCTGCAGCGGGTGAACAAAGGCGTTGAAGACGGCGTCGTGGTGGTTGTCCTTGGTGTTGCGCATGAGACCCTGGGCGACCATCTTGTGGAGGTACTCGACAGTGACGCCCTTGTGGCCCCAAAAGTGGCTGACAAAAGCACCGAGGCACTTCTTGTCGCCGAGGTAGGCGGCGCCGTTGCCGTCGCCGCAGGGAATGACGCGCAGGTCGTCAGTTGTGTTGTAGGCGTAGCGGATGTAGTTGCCAAAGGCGGCCTGCTCGTGCGCCCACTCCTTGGCCCACTTCTCGCAGCCGGGGAAGCGCTCGCCCGTGGGGCACTCGTCCCAGACCTTGAACATTTCCTGTGTGCGCTGGCTCTGCTGGGCGACGACGAAGCCCGTGTTCCAGAGCACCCAGCCCTTCTCGTCGCGGTTTACAGGCGAGTTAGGATCCTCGGCCATGGCAACGAGGGTGCCGTCGGTGATGTTCCAGAGGCCGAGGAGGAACTCGATGGGTAGCTGCGGCTGGACGAAGATGGCATCGGCATCGAGGAAGACGACAAACTTGTGCGTCTTGAGCTCCTCGCGGATCATCGGGACCTTAACCCAGGTCTGGTGACGGTCGGGGTAGATGGGCGCCTTGACGAATTTGTAGTCGTAGCCATGGATTTGGGCTACGTAGAAAAACACATGTTAGCTGGAGCGCCAGGCGGAGGATCTGAGAGTGTGGTAGGCGGATCGTCAGATGTCAGATGCTGCCGATCGCCGAGAGGGTCTGGGCAATCGGTACAGCGTCGCATCAGTATCGGTCTTACCATAGATGTAGTGGTTCAGCATGCCGGCGGCGCGCGGGGTCATATTTTCCTTGTTGAAGATGGCGGGGCCCAAGGCCCTTGCCTTGTTGTCGACACGCGTATCGACATCGAGAATCAGGACGTCCTTGCCGAGCGGCTTCTGCCACAGCTGGGAGCCGTTGGCGATCTCGTAGTATTTGCCCGAGTCAGTCGTGTAGTTGAGGCTGTCGAGTGGGTGTCTGTAGGGCTTCCAGAGGGCTGACACCAACTGGGAAAAGTCTTCGACGGCGGGAAGTGGTGACGAGTATTCGGAGTAGACGCTGTTGATGTTGTCAGAAACTGGGAGCGCCTTGGGATAATACGGGCCAGGAGAGTGCAAGGCCAGAGGAAGTTTAAAAAAAAAACCCCCCGTGGTCGTCTCAGAAGGGGGACGTACCGAGTGTAGACCCGATCAACGATCAAGGGTCCATGGCTGTGGGAAACGAGCAACAAAGAAATCAAAACAAAGGCGGTGCCGACAGAAATGACCAATGTCCTTTGCCTGCTGGCTTGGAAGAGAAGTTGGCGCATCATGGTTGGTGATGGAGAGGGAAGGTACGGCCCTGAAGCAGGCAGGGACGGACTGGAAGATCGCAAGTTCAGCAAACAGAAAGGCAGGAGCCCGAAAGCCTGTCACAGCGCGGGGCCAAGCTTTTGACTGCCAAAGCTTCTGTCTGCAAGGTACCTTAGGTAGGTACCATTAAGGGGGGGAGGGGCGGTCGAAGGGCGGCTGGCCTGCCTTTATCGCCTCTGCGACTGCCCATCCCATCCCGATCCTCCTCCCCCAAACCCCTCTAAACCCCATCTCACTCGCCTGTTTGTTGACTGCCTAAACTGCATTCAGCGCCCTCGTCTCGTCTCATCTGGCGTAGCCGTAAAGTCTGCTTTGCGCAAGCCAACCTATAGCTAACGCCGCAGACCAGCGCGCGATTGATGTGCGACCCACACCCCTGAACGGGGCCAATGCTGGGCTAGTGCTGGGCTGATGGCGTCTTCCCCAGCAGGGTGCATGCGCATGCTATTTGCAGAGCGCCCCGGGCGGGTTTGTAACGACTCGATTTCCACGTCAAAGGGAACCTCCCGTACCTTGGGTTGGGTGAGTAGTATGGAAAAACCAGCCCACCGAGTTCGTCGATTAATTCCTCACAGAAATACCATGATGACAGGCTTCCACTCACGGCTGACGCCGACATTCGCTCGGCATTCCAGGGTCCTCTGAAGCATGCACACGGATGAACGATGATACTCTCTGCAGCCAAGGGTGGTTCATTGCATCCATCTTCAGTGGCAGGCACCTTCCCAAGGTAGCAGCAACTCGTGCCAACAGCGAGGAAAGGTGAGGGCCAACGGGAAACCCATGTGGGTCAGCCAATTGACTAAGCTGCCAGAGTACTGAGCAAACTTTTCCCTTGCCCTGGACACTGACCGCTGCCTTCAGGTTTGGAAAAGCACCGAAGACTGGGCGCACAAGGACGAACAAGCGATGCACACAACCCATCCGGCCATGCCATTCGAATGGCGAGGCTCTTCTGATGGTTGGATTGAGCAAACACTCGACCCAAAGATACTTTGATCAAGGTGCCGCATCACTTTGGCCGTCACGACTCGAGCCAGCAGGCGATAGATGATGGCGCATCTAGTCGCCGATCGCCAAGACCGCCCACCCCCTGCAGCCACGCTCGACAGCGCTCCGCTCAGCACAGCGTTTGACAGACAAACTTTCCATTTCGGCCCACCAACAACGACAGAGGAGACAGGCTAGACGTGTCAGAATGCCTGTGCTGCATCTGCTGCTAGCGGCCACTGCAAGTCAACAATGGTGATGCGGTAGCACGGAAAGAAGAGCAGGAAGATGAAAAGATATCAGAAACGAGCTTGCCCCTGTTTCCATCTGCCAGCGCACAGACGAGCGCCTGCATCATCAGCCTCCAGCCCGGCCGGAGGCCCAACAGCAAGCAATAGGGAAATTATGTGCTCGACTGTACGTCCTATGAGCGTGAGGAGGCCCTCGAACATTTTCTGAAGCGACCAGGGGTTCTTATCTTATCGTGCCGACATGCTGACGGCGTGGTACAGGGCCTCATTCGACCATACTGTGATTCGCTCGTCAGCCTCAAGCATATGGACAAAAGGGGGTATCCTGGAGCTGCCACCAATACCTACGAGCCCAATCCTGTCTTTTTGCCACCTCCCCTTACAGACTGCTTGAGTTCCATACTTGCAGGCTCCTCACTATCAAATGCCTTGCGTCAACTGCACCAGTCAATCATCGCTAGAGCGCGACATCGAACTTTCGGCTGGCACCCCCCTGTCCGTGTCTAGGTGACCCTCACCCCCTTGTTATGTTATCTTATTTTGATGATTTTGTTCACTTTCCCCGTCGTCCATTTCACCACATGCAGAAAAAAGAGCGAAGGCGTTCGATGCTGGCGGCCGCCAGATTGGCCGCGAAACTGAAGTGCCGGGTCCTCCTGCGCTAGACCCTCCTGCATGGTACACATCAATTTGGCTAAACAGCTCACCACCTACCCGAGTATGAGGCAATTCGGGCACCACTGGAACCGAAAAGGGGGTCTCATCACCAGGGTGCTCCTTTTGATGGACTGCTGCCTGCTGTCACCTATCCCGTCCCGAGAACAGAAGGATCGAATGCCTGCACAATTTCACGCCATTGAAAAGCCCGTGACCCCATGCCGCCGTGTCGGCCTTCCATATTTACAATGCAAGGGCGCGCGCCTTTTCTTGGTCCCTTCGTCAATGCTGCCAACGTTCAGGAAATGCGGTCGTGGTTGTATGGACATGGGGGTCATGAGGCTTTTGAGAGTCCTGAGTGTCACAATGTCTACCGAGACAAGGGTCGCTGAGACAAGAGTCGCTGAGACAAGAGTCGCTGAGACTCGGAACGCGCCAGGGTCCTCTAACCGACATGGGAATTGTTTTCTTCTGCTGCTGAAGAAGAAAACTGCGCCACGTCCCTTCTTTCCCCTGTCCTGTCTCTAATGTTGCCATGCCTGACACTGACCCTAACATGAACGGGCGTTCAAGATGGAATGTCAACTGCCGCTGTTGATGGACTGTCTTTTGGGAGCCGTTTTCCATCGGACTGTACAATGGAGCTTCCTTCACCTGTTGCCTTCCGTGTTGGTTGTTTCGATTAATGCCGTTTCACTTACAGTTCCGGGATCATGGCGGACGACCCATACCACGACGTGCCGCCTACCTACTACCTACCTATCATATGGCTAGCCCTTTCAGAGTCGACACCAACTCCCAGACCGCAACAATACACGATTGACGTCCATCAGCATCAACGCCGCTTCCTTGAAAAGATCATCAGCCTTGGATATACCATACCTTCTCAGGCTCTTAATATGGCGAGTAATATATTTCACCCTTTCCGTCGTCTTCCCATGAGACCACAAAAGGTCATCCAGGAGTTTGCCGTTCGGCCTGTTAATTGAACCCTGGTTCACTGCTTTACCCTCTTCAACGAAACTGAACAGGAGTATTCGGATTTGGATAGCTACGAACTCAATGAAGACAAATATGCTTGCCTCTACCCTGGAGTCCCGTTGAATCATCATCGACATGAGCCCGGCGGCGGCTGCGGTTTCCCGGGCCCATCCTCTTGGATCAGGTGAGCCTTAGTGGCCGCTTGCGCAACACGTATATTCACGGCTGCGAGTATCGGCCTAATGATTTACCTGAATGCATTCTAGCTACTACCTGGCTTTTGCCATACTACCTCCTCCCAGCCTCTCCTCATCAGTTACATCTTCCAAAATTCCGTTGACTGAGAGGGCGGTTAGCCGATGAACTAATAGCTGAGATCAGACTGTCATAGACTTACCAGCCAGATCCGCAGTGATCGCCCGTTGTCCCGCAGAAGCCACCGGAACTGCAGCATTGGTTATCGAAAGGACCACCAGCACATGTGAAGCCGCCTTTGCTAGCACCGCATGTGCCGTCATTGGTGGGGATGTTTCTCGTGAAGCATCCACTCGAAGACCCGGTTTGACTATTTAGGAAACGTCAGTGAGAGCTTCCAGCTACTTGGATAGCAAAGTAGAGGGTTCAAGACATACCAGCCCTGGCCGCAGTGGCTTCCAGTGCTTCCGCAATATCCAGTGCTGGAGCAGCACGTCCCGAACCCGGCCCCAACGCACGTCTTGCCGTTCCTCGAACCACAGGCGCCGTCCTTGGAGAGACTGTCGGCCGCGCCGTTGCACGTCCCAAAAGACCCCTGGCAGCCCGTGCCGCAGTGGTCTGAAGACTTTCCGCAGAAACCGTTCGTCGAGCAGCAGTCTCCAAATGTCGATCCCTTACACGTCTTGCCGTTCTTGCCGCAGCTTCCATCCGTCGACACGGAGCCGGCACTGGCCGTGCAGGTGCCGAACGATGACTGACAACCGGCACCACAATGGTCTGCCGACTTGCCACAGAAACCGGAAGACGAGCAGCAATCTCCAAACGTCGAGCCCTTGCACGTCTTTCCATTCTTCCCGCACGCACCATCGGTCGAGATGCTACCAGCCCCGGCCGTACACGTGCCGAAAAGAGTCTGGCAGCCTGGCCCGCAGTGATCCGTTGACTTACCGCAGAAACCACCCGACGAGCAGCAGTCACCGAACGTGGACCCTTTACAGGTCTTGCCGTTCTTTCCGCAGGATCCATCAGTGGAGATGTTGTCCGAACCAGTCGTTGTGCATGTGCCAAAGGGGGCTTGACAGCCGGTACCGCAATGGTCTGTAGACGCGCCGCAAAAGCCCCCAGAGGAGCAGCAGTCGCCAAAGATCGAGCCCTTGCAGACCTTGCCGTTTTTGCCGCAGCTGCCGTCCGTTGATATATTGTTACTGGCAGCGCCAGAACAAGTGCCCGCATTCGTCTGACAGCCCGCGCCGCAGTGGTCCGTCGACGCTCCACAAAAGCCGCTGGCCGAGCAGCAGTCGCCAAAGGCAGACCCCTTGCACGTCTTCCCGTTGCTTCCGCAGGTGCCGTCCGTAGAGATATTATCTGCTGTAGCACAAGTGCCGAACCCGGACTGGCACCCAGCCCCGCAGTGCGCGGTCGTGCCTCCGCAGAACCCGCTCGAGGAGCAGCAGTCCCCAAAGCTCGATCCCTTACAAGTTTTCCCGTTCTTACCGCAGGAGCCGTCTGTCGAAATGTCCCCCAAGGTTGTGCAGTTTCCGAAGCTCGACTGACAGCCTGGTCCACAGTGGGCGGCTGAGCTACCGCAGTAGCCGCTAGACGAGCAACAGTCTCCGTAAATGGAGCCCTTGCAGAGAAGACCCTTGGTGCCGGCGCAGGTACCGTCGGTCGAGATGGTGCCGGGATTGCCACCAGAATCGCCTCCACCACTGCCGCTCCCGGCCGTGCAGTTGCCGAAAGCCGTCTGGCAGCCGGTGCCACAGTGTTCCGCCGCACCGCCGCACCAGCCGCTGGACGAACAACAATCACCGAAGCCTGAACCGAGGCAGATCTTTCCATTGGATCCGCACTTGCCGTCGGAAGAAACGTTGCTCTCGCCCGCACAGGTGCCAAAGGCGCTCTGGCAGGCTGTGCCGCAATGGGCGGACGAGTCGCCGCACCAGTTTCCAGACGAGCAGCACGCCCCGAAGGTCGAGTTGGTACAGATGAACTGGTTTGAGCCTCCGCAGGTACCATCCGGAGACGCGTCACCGGGTCCGGGTGGCTTCACCGGGGGCGGTGGAGGCGCGTCACAATTCCCAAAGGTTGGCTGGCTGCGCACCCTTGATTAGCTGGCCTGACTGACTTGACTTCGAAAAGGATGCCAAGCTTGGGAACTCAGGTCATACACAGAGCTCTAGGATTGCTTTTCAGGCTTGTGACATGACTTACCATCCGTCGCCGCAAAAGGCTTTGGATCGACCGCACATGCCGTCCTTTGAGCAACATGCACCCCAGGTGGGGGTACATACCCAATTGTCGACGCCACCACAGCTTCCATCCTCTGTGATGACACCTGTTTGCCACGGCGGCAGGGCAGGGGATGTTGTACTTTGGCATGTTGTCAATACAGGCAACAGCCAGACAAGAATGAAGGCCTTCATTTGGAGACAGGCCGGTAAAAGAACGTGATGGTCAAAAGAGTACAGATTCGCGATATGAGGCATACAATAAGCTGTCTGAGTGAGTGTTGAAATGGCGCAATACCTTCTTATACATTGTCCGAATTCCTGTCAGCGAGACAACATGGTCTATTGCTATGCCTCCCTGCAGCCTCCGGACTCTCGGCTCGCCAAACAAGACCGAGATCGGACTTGATGCAGGAGCATTTGACAACATGATGAGGCCTCGCTTGAAGTTGTCGTGATCGAAAAGGGAATTTCCCCTCAAACATTGAGTGCAGTTGGGGTTTTGGAAGCTCCAGGCCAAAGTCGAGTAACATCGTTCTGATACTGAATCCTCCAGGATCTAGCGTGGGAAGAAGTGCATGCTTCCAGATCACACCGAGAACGGCCTAATTCCAGGGGATGGGGGAGCTCCTATTCGCCACATCGTGATAACCCTGCATGCCTCTGCAGGAACATTTTGCTTACTGTCAATTTGCGCTCTCGCCACACGGATACAATAGACACAATAGGAAAGACTCCGGAAGCGACTCAGTCGTAAGTCATCCACATACGGCTCCTACGGAAAGTATCTTAAACCACCATGTTGGTGCCGTAAGCCGTAGTCTTCAGGCTAAGTGCGCAGACTCGTGTCAAGGTTGCAATGGCTTGATGTTGATTCCTCTTGGTTACGACCTGCAGGCTAGAAGCGAGAGATGACAAAATGATGAGAAATGGGGGTTTTTTATGGAATGAAGCCTCAGAAAAGAAAACACTCCTTTACTCGGCCTCGGAGGGCAAGCCCGCCTGACCCCTCCACACTACGGCGCCGTTACCGCACACACGAATCATATCGCTCTCCCTATCTGTATGAATCCTATGAAACTGGATGATATTCATATAAGAAGGCGTGGGCAGATTGATCCCAAGTTCATATTCACCACCACTCATCCGGTTTTCTGCCGGTGTTCAAGCTGCTATGCGGTCCCAATCCTCGACTAGCCTCGCAGTATTTGCTGTTATTGGGATCATACTTCTTTACTTGCCAGCTCTCATCTTTGCCGATGTGACCTACCATCCGAGAGCTGGTCGTACTATCGCCCAGCGTGACTCAGGCAACACCGGTGAGTTCTTTGTCAAAGTTGAGTTGTAGTACATGAATGGCTGACAGTACCGCAGATCTGTCGTGGAGAGATCAGATCGTCTTCAGCCCAGCTCATCAAGACCCTGCGAAGGCGCCGGCTGTTCCTATCGCTGCCCTCGAAAACTCCACCACTGCGTCAATTCCCGCTGTCTCCGTCTTCAACCCACGGGGCTTGAACACTTTCCAGAAGCGTCAAGCTCTTCGCTGTGATGATGGACCTTGTATCGACGGCAGGTATGTTGTGCTCAATACTCGTAGTGACCATAATTGCTGACACTGTTTCGACAGCTGTTGCAGCAAGGAGAAAATCTGCGGTTACGGCCCTTCCTACTGCGGTGCTGGCAACTGTACATCGCAATGCGATGCGACAGCCATGTGTGGAGAGTACAGCGAGAACGCCGAAATGCCATGTGGTATGAAGCTGTGCTGCTCAGCCATGGGATGGTGTGGCGTGAGTCTCTTTGCCCCATATTACAAATAGATACGACTGGCTTTGGTTCTGGGGAGCTGACAATCAATCTCACGTCTAGACGAGGGACATCTACTGTCACAATGCTGACCCAGTCCACAATACTCTGCCATGTCAAGCAGGATATGGTTCATGCTCAATCACGCCTTCTCCCTCCTGCGCCAAAGGGAGTGGAAGCTCCTCCAAGCGCAAGGTCGGATACTATCAGTCTTGGAACGTTCGCGATCGGAGGTGTAACAAGGTGTCACCATCGCAGCTTGACACAACGGGTTACACCCATCTCTTCTACTCATTTGCATTTATCGACCCCAAGACGTTCAGAATCACGCCAGCCCATTCAGACGATGACAGCATGATGAGGGAGTTCACGAAACTCTCGAAGGACGGCAAGCTGCAGACTTGGATTGCTATTGGCGGGTTCGACTTTAGCAATCCTGAAGTCGCGACGCATACCACTTGGTAAGTCTATTACCGCAATCCTCGTCTTCCCGGGGCAGCTGGAAGTCTAACATATCTGCAGGAGCGACATGGTCTCTACAAAGGCCAACAGGGCTGCTTTCATAGCATCTGTTAAGGAGTACATGGACACGTATGGGTTCCAGGGAGTCGATCTCGATTGGGAATATCCGGGTGCTCCTGAGCGAGGTGGCCGCAAGCTGGCAGACGTGCGAAACTTCCCAATGTTGCTCCGGGAGATGCGAGCCGCGTACGGAAGCAGCTATGGCATCAGTTTGACTCTTGCACCTGACTACTGGTACCTGCGATGGTTCGATGCGAAGGCCATGGAGCCGAGTGTTGACTTCTTCGGCTTCATGGCTTACGGTAAGACTCGCCTCCCATTTGAGCAACCCTTCCACTTCCGCTGTCAGATTTATGAACCACGGAGTCATTTGCTGATCTAGTGTCTTTCGTATTACAGACTTACATGGCTCATGGGATGCTGATGTCTTGGCACTTGGGAAGAAAGTCCGCGGTCAGGCAGACATTCGTGAGATTGCCAATAACACCATACCCCTGTGGTTCGATGGCCTCGACCCAAAGAAGATCAATTTCGGCCTTGCCATGTACGGTCGTGGCTACACTCTGGCAGATCCAAAGTGCAATCAACTTCTCTGCCCCTTCTCCGGCCCGAGCAAACCGGCTCCCTGCACAGCCTTCGGAGGTGTCATGTCTCTCGTCGAGATCAAACAGCTCATCAAGGAACGCGGCATTACTCCACAGTATCTTTCTGACTCTATGATGAAGCAGATCACATGGGACGACCAGTGGATCGGCTACGATGACGAAGAAACCTTTGCCGCCAAACAAGCATTTGCGGACGGCATGTGCTTCGGTGGAACAATGGTCTGGAGTATTGACTTCCAAGTCCCTGGTTCAGGCGGGTTCGTCACCTGCCCCTTGAAGCACAGATAAGGCTCCTTGCTGATGATTGATATAGGCACGACCAGAATGAAAACACGGTGTATCTTGATCCCAAGGTCTACGAAGGTACTCCCGCGCAATGTTCAGCTCCATGCGTTTTTGTTCTGCCCCCCAGCGCTTTGCCTTCAGCGACGACAATTCAGATCCCTCCATATTCGACTTCTCTTTCTGTAGCACCCGGAATCACATCGAACATCGTTATTCGCCCACCACCTATCGTCACAAGTTTCCTACAGTTCTCAAATGTCGATGTTACACAGGGCCAGACGACTGGAAATGTTCATCCAACAGTTAGTCTCGACCTTCCACCATTCGTGACCACTATCACCGGTCCTGGCGGTGTTCAGACGAGAACGCTTCTACTGCCGCCGTGGCCGCAAATTACCAACGGGCCGCCTGAAAGCTGGACCACATCAGGAAACTCATGGACGAATCCGGGTGTCACAGGCGTGCCAGTACCTACGGACGTGATCCCCCTTCCACCGCCAGCGATTGTCACGAAGACTCCTTACACGGGTCCCGGAGGGTCGGTCGACCCTTCGGGTACATGGCCCTCATCGTTTGATATTCAGCCCATTACTACAGCCGTTCCTGATGAAGGTGAAGATGATGATGACGATGGTCCAAAATCCAAGTCTACGTGCAACCTATGGTTCTTCTGGGTAGGCTATTACTCTCTAGCTGGAAATATCATCCTTCAGAATGCCGGAGTGCTAACGATCGATAATAGACCTGTATTGACATTGGTGGAATCAAGATTGGTGGGTGGGAGTGGAATTTACCACAGGGCATCTGGGGACCGTAAGTGACATAAAAAAGGAGCGTTTCATGCGACTATCTATGTGCTGACGATAACACTCTTCATAGCGGGCCACCACCTATTGGACGCATCAATCCTCCTCCAGGTTTTACGTTCAAAGGGAACTTGCCAAACTGGCCGAAAATCACGTAGGTTATGATTTCTGGAAGCTATTCTAGCCTACCTCGGATCAGAACTAACGCAGGGTTCTAATAGCGTTGGGCCCGGCGGCAAGGTGACTGCACCTCCTAAGCCAGCAAGTTGCACTCCAGCAGAGGCATCGCTTTGCGCCACAACAACCTCGTTCGGGACGACCGTGCAGAATGGGGTAACAAGAACGACAACAACGCAAGTCAAAGAGACTTGTGCCACCATTACTGGGTGCAACCTTCGTGACATAGACTCCACAGAGACCGGAAAAGCATGCAGTCTGGCGAAACGAACTATCAATCTCACCGGCGTGCGGTTGCCCGACATGACTGCCGCAGCCGAGCCACCCCCTAACATCGCAAAGAGGGCAAACAGTATCTGGGACTGTGAGGAAACCGGCGAAGACGGCATTATTTGGCCACAAGACCCGAAGGAAGGAGGGCAAACACGCATTCGCGCTTTGCTTCAAGAAAGAAAGGATGCTCTTGGGGGTACCCACAGCTGGACGGAAGTCCGCGCAGGAGATCTGGACTACACGGCATTTTACTACGTCGATAACATGGGTCCAGTCGCGCAAGCGTATTTCGATTCGGACGAAGTCAAAGAGGTTAGTGCGCGGCGATCCCGATTCACTATCGTTGAGATACCAAATGACCAGGCTAACACTATTGGATCTAGATCAACAGAGCTTACAACTATCGTGCAGATATCGCACCCAGGTTATCCAGAGCCCAGCGTAGGCGCAACAGAGGAAAGAGGTCTGCTAAAGCGAGCGACAGCCGTAGAGATACACGGATACGAGATGAAACGCCAGCAAGTGATGGAGCTGAAAAGTTGGACGAAGCCGCCGAGTTATTGAACAATGAGACATCCGACATCGCCAAGCGGGCAACCAGTCCGGAGATCAGTGACAGATGGCATCTGTCTCATATCTCTATCCCCGAACGAGTAGACTGGGATGTGGACGATGACCCGCATATTCCCTCCCAGAATAAGCTTGCGTATTATTTCAACAACAGGGAGGGATCTGGGCAGACGGTTTACATTATGGAGGAACGTACGAGTCAGAGCGGAGTAAGTCAATACCTGGGATCTCGCTCCGGACATCTGCAAGCTGACATTATCCTTAAAGGAATTCACAGGGCAGCTGAAAGCACCTCTTTCACCACATAGCTATCTCAGCTCTATGTGGTACGACGACGATCCTGACGATGTGACGGAAATGCGGCGACACGGGACCGTCATATCTGCCATGGTTGGGGGTGTAGCCTCGGGGATTGCACGACAGGCGAGTTTGGTGGTAGTGCCAACAAAACTGGAAGTGGAAGAGGACTGGCCGCTCGAAATCTTCCTTGCATCCCTTGTTGCAATCTCACAAGATATTGTCAAGGAAAAGAAGTCTCAAGACACGACAATCGTCAACATGTCGTTCGGTATCCCTATGAAATACGCAGAGCCGCATTTCTGGACCATCATGCGTAAGCCTTTGACCAGACCAGCGAAAGTAAGAGAAGTCGGCCGGACGTTTCTGACTTCTATGACAGGTCAATTAATGGTACTCATGGAGGCAAAATACGGGACCGTTTTTGTTGCTGCATCTGGCAATGCGGAGCCGGATCCTGCCGATGGACCTCTGGTAGACCCGGGGGTCTTTATTGATGCGAATTCCATGCCATACGAAGCCATGCCTTATGTTCCTGGCATGATGGTTGTCGGTGCTTCCAACAGAGAAGGGTATCGGCGAAAGCTGAGTATGGTAGGGACGAACGTCGAATTCTGGGCTCCTGGTGAGCAGCTCCCATATCCTTTGGGCGTCAGTAACCGGCGCCAAATCAATGGCGGATCACCTGGTAAGTACGACACATTTCATCATTCCTTCGGAAATCTACGAGATCTTTTCCGTTGCCCTTTGTAGCTAATTACCTTAACCTACCCTCAGCTGCTGGCCTTGTCTCTGGACTTGTTGCGAGCTTGCGCTCAGATCCAACCTTCAGTAACTTTGTCAAGCCGGCACAGCTCAAGCAGCAATTGAAGTCATTAGCCCGCGCTATTTCCTACCAGGGTGTTACCAATGCCGATAAGCCTGTCGTTGTTTACAATGGACAGAGAAAGGACCAGTCTTGCCTACCAAATTCGAATGCCGGCGTCGTCTCAGAGCGCCGGCTATCCATACGGCAGGTTGAATCGTGCCCTCTTCCAGGACAGCCGGGCAATCCAGAAGGGGTCCCCGTGCCATCGCTCACTTACAAGCCTGGTCCTCCCGGTCCCTTGTGTACCGCAAACTGTGGTAGGCTCTGTGAGGGATTCTTCTGTGTACCGCAGCCGACAGGAACACCGCCCGAGTTCACGCCTCCATCCAATCCCGGGGCTACCGGCCCTGGCTGGGTTCCGCCTCCGCCAGTCACCCTGCCCAACCTCCCTACACTACCACCAAGTGAGCCGGGTGTCACACCAGGCCCTGGTACCGTCTGTCTCTCCTCGGCGACTGTCACGCAGTGCAATGGAAGGCCCGGTCAGGCAGTTTGCGTGACCAGCACATCCTGTGCCAGCTTCGGCACTTTAGGACCGTTCCCCACTCTGCCTCCATCTGTTACGAGCCCTCCTGGTGGCAGTTGTGTCTCGACTGCGACGTGGGTCATCACAGGCGGTCCAAAGGGCGAGGCGACTGTAACTACGAGCGGCTGCGGGAAATGGACTGTTCCGTCAGCCCCTGAGCCAACGCCCAACCCACCATCGCCACCACCACCACCAGAGCGCAACCACGGCGTTGTGGTCATCAGCTATTATGAATTCGGGCAGTTTACCGTGGGCGGTACTTTCTGGACTCGAGAGCACAGAGCCTTCTCTGTTCCGTTCGGAGGGCAGATCAAGCAATGCAGCGCATCGGCGATAGCCTCACAGAGTGCCCCCGGCGTCCTCGCTTCAGCGAAGCTGCCGACCAAAATGGGGCCTTTCCAGGCTGAGGGGCGCACGTGCGAGTACTCTGGCTCACCTGACAGCCCTGGCCAGCTGAGCTGTGACGGACTGCCGACTGTCTCCTGTGAGCGCGCTTCGCAGACTGATATCTGTGGTTCCGGAACTCCTATCATGGAAGCACTGGCTTTCTGTAGATTCTAGGAAAGGGTCTGAACTTTGCCCGTCATTTTCCGATAGCTTCTCGATGACAGTGTATCAATTGAAGTACGAACCAAAATCCTGAACATTCAATCCTGATTAAATTGCTAGAATCTACTGAACGAAGGGTGCTAATGAAATCATTCCCTTCCCATACTGTATCTCTAACCGGCCTTGCACGACACTGGTATGATTATCCGCAGAGACTAATATTTAAAGATGGCGCAACATTTATAATCCAGTCTTCTCATCCTTCTGCTCCTGTTGTGTGACCTGCAGCTTCGCATGCGCCTCTGCCCGACCATAGGCAGCCGCAGACTCTGGGCCATCGAAAAGAATGGCCATCTCCTCAAGGGTAGGTCCCTTAGTTTCCACGAAGAAGAAGTAAATCACGAGAACCTCAATGACCAAGCTGTTCACCACAGTCAGTCAATAGTTCAAAAAGAGAGTCGCGGCAGAATGGGACCTACACAGCAATGTACACAAAGTAAAACTTCCATGCTAGAGCCTCGAGACCAAGTGGGTTGACCCATTGGTTGAACACGCCTGCGACCGAGGTGCCAAAGAAGCAGAGCATGAGACCCTTGGCTCGGATGTTATAAGGCAGAATTTCGACGGTATAGCTGACGGTCAGACCGGGCCAAGCTGCACCGGCAACGCCGTAGAAGACAAAGATCATGGCGACGACGGCGGTGCCGGCAGGCTTCGAGCCCGTCTGCTCATATACCGCGCTGCAGGCAGTCCAGACGGAGAACGAAAGGAGCATGCCGATGCCGGCAAAAAGGAAGAGGAAGCGACGGCCTAGGCGGTCAACGAAGAAGGCGGCGAAGAGGGAGACGAGCCAGCACCAGATGGTCAAGCCGCCGTTGATGTAGGACTGGGTGATGGCGCTTGGTCTTGTCAGCTAAACCTTTTTGGGGGCTTTCAAACTGAAGAAATGCTTACTCTTCGATACCAATGCTGTTGAGAATCACAGAAAGCTGTACGCCAAATAGTCAGTCCTCTGCATACTGCGACAGCCCGGGAGAAGTCTTACATAGTATGAAACCAAACCGTTGCCGCTGCACTGCGAGAAAAAAGCTGTGGCAAGGATGAGATAGCATCGCTTGCGGTTGCCCTTGGTGCGCACCAGCTCCTTCCATCCATTGTTGGCCGCGGCGCTACGCTCGAGCTGAAGAGTATTGGAGATCTCAGCCAGTTCCCAGCGCACAAAAGCATCGTTCTCATCGCCGTTGCCGTGGTACTTGACGAGTACCTTGCGCGCGTCCTCATGTCTTTCCTTGCTGATGAGCCATCGAGGGCTCTCGGGGATGAACCAGATTGCGATGAGCAGAATGCCAGGCATGAGGCACTGGAGTCCCATAGGAAGACGCCACTGCAGGTCGCCAGACAGATTGTCGAGAGTTCCGAAGCAGGTCCATGCAGCGATGATGGCCTGTTGGGTATTGTCAGTCTCTCCCCCTTTTTCAAATCTTGGCTTTCCTGTACAAGGTACTTACACCGAGATACCAGATTGTGTTGTAGATGGTCGTGATTCTGGCGCGGTGCCTTGGGTGCGAAACTTCAGTGATGAGGAGAGGAGCGGTGGCATTCGAAACGTTGCTAGTTCCATGTCAGAGAATCACGCTTTGAAAAGCATTTGAACTCGATTTACCTTCCAGCACCCATCAGAATACGACCGATCAGGAAGAGCGCATCGCGGCTGCTGTGGGGATACGATTGTGTCAACGCCTGCATCAAGGCGCCAGCAACAATCATTGAGCAGCCGACGGCGGTTCCAATCTTGCGGCCGAGTACATCGGCGAGATAGGGCGCTATGGGCAGAACAGCCAGGCCACCGAGACCGGGAACGGCACTGTAAAGTCCTAGGCGAGAACCAGTGGGATGATCAAAGTCTGGTGCGCAGAAAGCTTGTTAGCCAAGTGTGTCGAGGGCACCCCGACGAATGGCGAGGACAAGCTTACAAGCCTGCCATGTGTCCATGGTTTGAAGTCCATTAAGCAGACTGCCGTCAAAACCGAGGGTTGATGATGCGAGAAACAGAAACGGCATCATGAAATACAACTTTCGGAGTTCCGTCTGCTTGTACCAGGGCAAGGGGTTATCCTTCGGAGTGAGTTCCTCCTCGGTAACGTCAGGATCGACATGGTCAACCATTGCGTCCTGTTTCGCCGACATGTTGATGATGAACGAGGTTGAGGTCGAAATATCAGGTCCAAGACCTTGAAGAAATTGAAACACTGGTCAATGCTTGGCTGAGTCGCAGTGAAGGTTGAGAATCGTGATTGTAAAGATCGACGGGGGCAGAGAGACTTATAGATTTCTGCCAATGCATCGTCAGGCGTATCCCAAATGCTCTCTGATGCAGGCTTCGTCCCGATCGATGGCCTGTTGAAGGCGACGGCTGGAGATCAGCTCCCCTTCGGCTCTCGGACTTGCTCTCGCAGGAAGAACCGACAGCTCGGTTTGGTTGAACTTGAAGCCATGGATGTGTTCGTCCCCACGGGGAAGAAATGGCGGAGACGGCCCAGAACACGCTGACTCGAAAGGTCATAGTCTGCTTTGCCGGGCCAATTACACTATTGACTAGCATGACTCGGCTTTCGCGTAGGTCCGGAGACTCGTTCCAGCACACAAGGGGGGCAGGTTCTCAGCTCCGACGTTTCTGCGATCGTCTGCATTCAAGTTCCTGCATGCTCCGATCTTTCTCCTCGGACTCATCTTGCCCGCCCTCCTTCTCAACTTGACAATTACTGCCAACTATGGAAACTGGGGAAGCAGCATCGCAAAGCGGATCGTCGCCAGAGAACCCCAGATTACCCCAAACGACAGCATCCGTGGAGTCTCCAGGATCAGTGTCGGGATCCAAGAGACCCACTGCTGCTTCTGCGAAGAATCAACGAGCTTGTGACGGCTGTCGCGCGCGAAAAGTCAGGGTGAGTCGTATGCGCTGACGCTTGGCCACGAGATGTCGGGCAGTCTGATGGGGCCTAAACGTGTCATTGCACATCCCCTGTCGCCTGGCCTAGCATAACAGCTACATTATTGGAGCGGCTTACTGACATGGCGGGCATGGACCTTAGTGCTTGTACGGATCAGGCGAACAACGATGTCAGGGATGTATCTTCCTCGACATTGCCTGCACCCATCTTCGTCCGAGGAGGCGGCGAGGCCCACAGAACAAGTACTTCACTGCATTACTCTGTGTTATTTCCGTTCTCCTGCTCGTCAGCTAACTGCTGATCAGACACGCACACAATGCCATACATGAAGAACGAACTCAACTGCCGTTGGCACCATCCCATCAATCTCCAGAGCATGGACCGCCTCAAGCTCCAGCCGGTATTATCGGCTCCGGCTCTGGCTCGGAGGCGGCAAGTTCGCCCCAATTACTCCGGATGGCATCAGCTGTATCCCCGATGCCTCAGCAGAGTCACTGGCTTTCTCTCTTTGCCCCTGAACCCACGATTCTTCGTATACTCAACGACTGGTTCGAAAGGGTGCACGCTCTGGCCCCAGTTCTCGTTCGTGGGCGCTTCATGCGGCGCTTCAGAAGCAGAGAAGCAGACCACAATGCTACTTTCTGTGGCCTCGTCATCAGTGTCTGCATGGCAACCTGTGCTACATTGCGGAGAGAAGACTATGGCGATGCGACGGCCGAAAAAGGGGCCACCTTCATTCAGTACCATCGGTTGCTTGAAGTTGACAGCAGCGGTCAAAACGCGTATACTCTGGATTGGTGCGTGGCCATGTATAATCTCGGCATGTCAGCAAGTTCTCTTGCAACGGGCGGGTTGAAGTCGACCAGCTCGTATCATGCCTTATCCATGGCCGCCATTGGGGTTCGGTATATTGCATATTACTGTATGAAGGATCATGACTTTGTCGAACAGCAACAGGCTAAGAGGCTTTTCATGCTAATCTTTGCTGGCTCCCAGTACGTTGTTCTTGTTCTTCTCCCTTGTTTCGATGTGTCCCGCCGCATGACTTTCACTCTACAGCACCGGG